AGCAAGACGATGAAGTCCAAACCTCCGCTTAAAGCCTGCCAGCCACAGTCTGGGACCGAAGGATCATGGGTCAAAATACTTTATAAAGATTTGTTTCTTGATGTTTGTAAATACATATACAGTCCCAATTTCTATTTTCACTTAACTCAAGGACTGGGCATCGTTTAATAAAAAACGAATGAAACTACGATAGTTTTCAGTTACTTAGCGAAAAATCGTCGTTTTCAGAAAAAAAGGAAAAAATTTGTACTTTTAAACTTTTGAAAAATGAAAAATTAAACAAAAACAAACAAAAAATCTAGAAAAATGAAAATTTACACAATATTTTCCTACAAAAAATCTATTTGATTATTAGACATAAATTGTTAACAAATGTGCGGTGGTTATTCACGATCGTCAAAAATAAAAGAATGATAGACCTGCGGTAACGAAACGGCGAAAAACTAGCACTTTATTATGTAATTTCCAATATTTTTTTTTCTACTTCAGTAACGAAACGAATGCAGTTCGTTGCTTAAAAAAATTTATACTTCGCATCCCAACACTTGACATCCTGATCCTGTATCATGATACATTTTGTAAGAAATATTTGCACATGAAAGCAAGTAGAAAGTCTGCAAATATATATTTGCCGATCCGCAAAATATAATCTGAAATTTGAGACGTGATCATTTTTCTTGATATAAATTAAATTCAGTGCACTTTTATCTTGTACTATTAAAACAAATATTTTCCGACTTTAGAGTAGAGACTATTTTTAACAAAAAGTACATCTTTAAATTTATTCTAACTTCCTGTGATTTACATAAAATCATATTAAAAATACAAAAACAAAAGTTTTGTTCTTCGGTTTAAAATGTAGTTTTATACAGTTTCATTTTAACTCTGATAAACTAAAAATCATAAATTTTTACAAAAAAATGAATATAAAGTTTTAAGTTCGATAGTAATTCTAAAATCAAATCAAAACAAAATAAACTTTTAGGATGTCTACTCTACACTTTCAATTCAAAATGACTGTACTAGAACAAACTTGGAAGATGGTTCCTGGACGTCTAGTTTTCTTGAAGTATCGTATTTTTCCTGATCTAAGATAACCGCTAGATATCGCGTGTATCCAGTGCTTATCTCACCCAGTCGACCCAAGCTGAGGGTGCCCCGAAAATATCATAAACATTTTCTTGTCATCAAGATTAATTAATTAAAACATTTATTCCATAAATTTGGAAAACTCAGTATTTATTGATAAGAGTGTTATATTTTTGTTACATGCTATATCTTTGACAGAGTATAAAAATCACGTGATATCGGGCACTGTAAGTAATAATCTCGAGAGGTGACATGCTATATCTTTGACAGAGTATAAAAATCACGTGATATCGGGCACTGTAAGTAATAATCTCGAGAGGTGTGGGTAAGAAAAACAACCAAAACTAATAGTTAATTTGAAATTGTCCAAAGCTAGGAATGTGCTTTTATTTGGGTCGTTTTTTGCCAGGGGGGATGATATAGTTCACTACCTGTGTGCTCAGTTAGCTGTACTGTACACTTACAACTGTTTACTAATATTGATATACTTTAGGTTAGGCCAGATTCAACTTATAATGAACAAATATGCAGTACGCTCTCGATATAGTTTATGACTTATCAAATTAATAAAGGATTAGTGTACATCATCACTCTATACACTATAACCTCGTTGTTTTTTGTCAATATTTTCTTTCAGGGTCAAAGTAATATAATAGAAGCAAACGTTTTTTTTAAATTTTTTATCATAAACATTTTCGCTTAGGATATGAATATTGCAAAGTTAATAACAACAAACTTTAACAATCACCACGTTTTTAGATTCGGCGGAAAGCCAAAATGTCGTGGTCTCTCAACCTGTTGACGCAAAAAGTAATGCCATACTGTTGAGGCATTTTTAATTAAATGAAGAAATACTTTATACTGGCAAAAGCAAATTTTAAATCAATTCTTCAAATGCTCAAGCAAGTCACGACCTTATTTAGCCATTTGAAGCCTAAAAATCTAAAGTGTTTAATAATATATTCAAACCGCTGCTCTTAACTAAGCATACATGGTGATTGGCGCGTTCTCCTTTTTTTAATTTGTTAATTTATCGTTCGTTAACGACCAATTTCGTTTGTTTTTTTAAAAAGATTGAATTCGGTAGTGTTTAGGAACTTAGAACACTACAACGCTAACGATTTATTTTCAAAAATTAAGAAAACTTAATTTTGTCAAAGAGCTTTCAGTTTGTTTAAAAACAGTGTCCAGACCTAAATACCATCGATAACTAATTTTTATTGCATAAATTATATTTCTTTTGGTGTATCTACTGGTGTTACATAAAGAACGAGAAAAGGCAGGCGGCCATTAGCCACAACATTTTCCCATTCCATGCCACATATTATCTTTTCTGTCTTCCGGCAGCCACAGTCTTCCATGCCACAGCATTTGAGTCTTCTAGCAGTTATTACGTTTTTAAATAATAAATTTAGTGCATTGAAATTGTGATTTTCAAAAATCCAGCGACATCGTGAAAAAGAAGCGCCCTAAAAGCCTAGTACTCTTAAAGTTCAAAGTGCGCCCATAGCCGAAAATTTGCACTTTGAACGAGAAAATTGCAAAATAAAATTTGTTTTGAAGAATTCTGTCACGCTCAGGTACTGCCAGTTAATATTGTGATTTTTCTCATCTTTTCTTACTCTTTAGACTATCCCAAACAATTTGTCTTGGTGCCCACAATGCGTAAAATAATGCAAAATTTTCTTTGTATTATGTAAAGCAGTTTATAAGCTGAACACGCAATTCAAAGATCTCTAATAAACTTATAAAATTTCTTACAGGTGATATCTTTTGCGGATTGCGACAGAATTTGTAAAAATTCAAATTTCAATGCCCTAAATTTATCATTTAAAAACGTAATAATAATAATAAGACTTGAATGCTGTGGCATGGAAGACCTTACGATTATGGCTCATGGCATGCCTGAAGACAAAAAAGATAATGTGGGGCTTGGAAGGGGAAAATGTTGTGGCTTATAGCCGCCTGCCTTCCCCAACTCAATTAAAGGTGCGTATCGATTTACTAATTATTAGTGTTTCTGTGCTCTGGCAACAATACAACACAAACCCAAATAAATTGATTTCAATTAAATAAAAATCTATGTCGTCAAGAATATTAGACTAAGAATATAAAAAAAAGATAATTCTACGGAATACTTGGCAAATCATTGAACATTTTTTTAATGGAAACCATTTTAATTTTTGATAATGATAAATATGATAATGTTATTTACAATAATAATAATAATTTATTTTGCTCATTAATCCTTTTGAAACTAATACTTTAAAAACAAGTTCTTTAAAGAAAAACTATAAATGAGTTTTTGAAGTAAAAACAATGGCCAAGGCAATGGCATTGCGACACTTTAAAGTCAAAGTCCTTAAAATTGATGCAGCTTTTTATAGCAGTTTTTATAGCAGTTTTTATAGCAGTTTTTATAGCAGTTTTTATCGTTGTAATCAAATCCTTATATTATTACAACCTGTTGTCAGAGACTGTTAATATATAAAACTTTGATTTCTGCTAGAGTTTACATCATTTGAAGGGTTCACAACGTTAATTTGTAAAGAAATAGGGAAAATTAGCGTTTGTTGTAAGTTCTCCTGTTTTATTATCAGAATATTATTTGTTAATATTGAATTCCAGTCGCAAAGATGGATATGCCCAATTCAAAACAGTTCGCTTGAAATCTTTAACTGATGAAAAATGTGATAGATATCGTCGTTTTTTAGCTTGAAAATTTCCTATTTCGGCTAATTCCTACATGTTTTCCTGCACGTTAAATGCGCAAGCCACTCTTGTAGAGAAACCACTATAGAAACATTAAGTGTTCAAATTTATAAATATTGATATCTAATTCATACTTGATCAGACAAAGCTTTAAAGAGTACCGTTGTAAATCGGACATTTACATTTTTGCAATGAGGCCTGAGGGTTCACTAGGTTCACCTAAAATAATACTTTAAGTTACTCTAACTATGACCCATTGTCAGATACTTAAATAACAAAAATTAACATGCTTAATTTATCTTTACAAAAGAGCTTTATGAAGATATACTCGTATCGTCAAATGTTTTAAAAGCCTCTGATAAAATAGAGTCATTTATTAGTAGATTTTCTCGTATCTCGAGACACCCTGTAGATTGCACTGTCGGAGTACTGTCGGAGCCAGGATCTAGGATCCAGTAGGACTAGGAGAACTGCAGCAGTTAGACTCTAACCTCCGCGGAGCTAGCTCTCCTATAAACAGAAAAGTTGGGAATTAATTTTCAAGACTGTTCATTTTATTTTTAACAGTGTGCTCAGCTCTTTCTAGTTCTAGTCCTTTTTAAATTTTAATCATGCACTCAGATATAGTTCATGTACCTTTTTTTACAGTGCTTTTGGCTTTAGTTCATGTTATTTTCTTACAGTGCTCTTGGCTCTAGTCCACGTTCTTTTTTTACAGTGCTTTGGGCTCTAGTTCATGTTCTTTTTTTACGGTGCTCTTGGCTCCAGTTCATGTTCTTTTTCTACAGTGCTCTTGGCTCTACTTCTTGTTCTTTGTTTTACAGTGCTCTTGGCTCTAGTTCGTGTAGTTTTTTTTACAGTGCTCTTGGCTCTAGTTCCTGTTCTTTTTTATGCTCGGTATTTTATAGTTTGTGTTTTTCTAGTTTTCACAGTGCTCTCGGTTTTAAAGCATTTTCTTTTATTTTTAACAGTGCGCTTTGGTAAAGTCAATTCTTAGAAAAGCGTTTTAATGGGATTCTTTTTCGAAACAATAAATTTGATTACATAAGTGTTTAACGTAATCTCAAAAGACTCTTTCCTAGATTTGTTTTAATTTGACCTGCACAAAGTTGATGTTGAAAAGATAACAATACGGAAAATTAATTATTTTTTATTATTGATTATATAACATTATTGTTATTGATAAAAACATTTTCCAGAAAAAATGAATTTGTTTCTTCAAATCTTACTACTCCTTCGTTGTGTAGCTGCAATTGGGCCTGCTGAAACTGTTTTAGGAAAATATCGTACAATACTTAAATATTTTAAAGAATTTTTTAATATTTTCAAATATTTTAAGATATTTTTAAATATTTTCATTTTTTCCGAATATTTTTTTACCTTTTTTAAAACTATTTTTATCATTTTTTTTTCGATAATTTTTTAAAAACTTTTCTTTTATACTTTATTCAAACCGTGCTCTACTGTACGTACAGTAAAGTAAAGATATTTAACCGGAGTTTTTTAACTGCAACTTAAAAACAATTTCACTGTAATTCTAATTGAAACTGTATTACAGTAATAATATAATTGCATTAAATTGCACAACAATTATGCTGTAATTGTTCAGTCATTTTGTAATTAAACTAAAATTGCACAGCAGTTATACTGTAATTGGGATGAAATTTTGCAACAATCATACTTGCAATTGTAAATAAAATAAAGTTGTAGATATTTGTAACTGCAGGAGTAACTGCTGCTAATCTAGTTCAAGAAGTTACATCATCTAAATACTTCACTGAGCTGATCATCAAGAGCAGAACTGAGGTACAGTACAGTTAGACTCATAAACTGAGGTACAGTACAGTTAGACTCATGAAACTGAAGTACAGTTAGACTCATAAAACTGAGGTACAGTTCAGTTAGACTCATGAAACTGAGGTACAGTTAGACTCATAAAACTGAGGTACAGTACAGTTGACTCATAAATCTGAGGTACAGTACAGTTAGACTCATGAATCTGAGGTACAGTACAGTTAGACTCATAAATCTGAGGTACAGTACATGTTATACTCATGAAACTGAGGTACAGTACAATTAGACTCATAAAACTGAGGTACAATTAGACTCATAAAACTGAGGTACAGTTAGAATCATAAAACTGATGTAAAGTTAGACTTATAAGTTAAAACATTTAAATACTTCACTGTGCTGATAATCAAGAGCAAAACTAAGGTACAGTTCAGTTAGACTCCTAAAACTGAGGTACAATTAAACTCATAAAACTAAGATACAGTAAGAGTCATAGAACTAAGACACTGTTAGACTCATAAAACTGAGATACTGTTAGACTCATAAAACTGATAGAATGACACTTAGACTCATAAAACTAAGATATAGTTAGACTCATAAAAGTGAGAAACATTTACACTAAAAAAACTGAGTGATAGTTAGACTCATAAAATTGAGGTTATACATTTAGACTCAATCAACTGAAGTAGATTTAGACTCATAAAACTGAGATATGGTTAGACTCATAAAACTTATATACATTTAGACTCCTAAAACTAAGATACATTTAGACTCATAAAACTGAGAGAAACAGTTAATCATACAACTAAGGTATGATTTGACTCATAAAACAGAGATACAGTTAGACTCATAAAGCTGAGGTAAACTGCAGTTACTATTACAATTGAGGTATTTTTACCTCAGGTTAGAGGTTAGACTTATTAAACTGAGGTATACAGTTAGGCTCATAAAACTCAAATACAGTTGGACTCATAAAACTGAGGTACAATTAGACTCATATAACTGAGGTTATAAAACTGAGATACAGTTAGACTCATAAAACTGATGTATACAATTAGACTCATATAACTAAGATACAGTTAGATTCATTAAACTAATGTATACAGTTAGACTCATAAAACTGAGATACAATTAGACTCATAAAACTGAGGTATACAGGACTGATACAGTTAGGCTCATAAAACTGAGGTACATTTAGACTCATACAACTGAGGTATAGTTAGACTCATAAAACTGAGATACATTTAGACTCATAAAACTGAGATATACAGTTAGACTAATAAAACTGAGATATACAGTTAGACTCACAAAAATGAGGAATAGATAGACTCATGAAACTGAGGTACACTTGGACTCATAAAACTGTGAAAGAAGAAGACGATTCCTAGAGCTATGCCTTTAAAAAGTCCAATGAAAATGTTAGAGCAATTGTTTATTAATTCATGCATTCTCCCATTTCACTGAAAAGATTGAATGTTTTGTTACTGGCAAGGTCAAATTCTTTTTGACAACAGCAAGTTACAAATAAGATTGCTGAATTCCTATATTCAATAGTTATTGATTTCATTTTATAAGTTTGGTTTCACAATTCGTTTATGTATGGCGGTTTGTTCGAGATTTGTAAGAATTCTCACTGTCAATAGATATATCTAACATGATGTTGCAGGAGCCTGAGGAATGTTCCCAGCGTGTAAAACTAAGCCGAGAGCGTGCACGAATAAACGGAGTTGAACAAGGGGTGCAACCTACAGTCACCCTAGGTACAAAAAAAATATTTGAAAAATTATTTTTGAAATATTTTAACTTTTACCAACTTTTTGAAAAAAATTCTTCGTCTTTTAACCATACACTTTTTGGAGAAACAAAAATTTGTTTCTTACATAAAAACTTTTGGTATACATTTCTTCAAATCACAAAATAAAGGATTGATATGAAAAAAACAAATTTTCAAAATGTTCTTTAAAACTTCCTTTTTTATAAAAAAAATTATATGTTAAAACTAAATATTCGCATAATTCACGATTAAAGTTATTGACAAATTAATCTTAAAAATATTAAATATATATTTTTCTAAAAAATAATAATTACACTTCACTTTTTTTGCCAATTCTCGCATGTCAACAGTTTTCAATTTTTATACTTACCTTAGGGGCCGCACTTCTCATATTTGCACTGGTTGGAATATTTGCTGCGGGCATTGCACAAGCATTTCAAATGGTAAGTACACATCAATCAATCAATCAATCAATAATCTTTTATTCTAACTTTCTAAATATCTACCTTTAACCTTGGGGAAGTTCAAGGGTATAACGCTTTAACTAAACGTCCTCCCTCTCCATATCACCCCTCCCTTTCCTTACCTTCCCTCCCCTTTCTCTTTTCCCCTCCCCGCTCCTCCTCCTCCCTTCTAAAATGTCCTGTTTTTCCTTGAGAATGTTTTAGGACAAATATTTTAGTTAAATTTGGCACACATACTTTATACCCCCCCCGCATTGTAGATTTTTGATTTACCCGGCCTCCCCCCTTTGTCGTTTTTGATCCCCCACCCCTTCTCTCCAATTTCGTAGATTTTTTATGCTACCCTTCCCCCTTTTTTCTTTCTTTAGACATTTATTCTAAATCCAGTATATATATATTTTACTCTCTTATATGCAAATGTTGTTTCACTTCTCCTCCCCCAGCTATTGCCCCCCCCTTCCCTCCATTCTACTTTTTATTCATGCGTTCACCTCATTTAGTCAAAATCTAAGGAAGCAAAATCTGAAAATTCTATTAAAAATAACATAAAATTAATATGTCTGCTTTTTGGGAAACTGAGCTTGTGACATTTTTTTTTTCTTCTTCGCCCCCGCCCCCATTGCATTTTCCCCTGTCCCTAAAATTAATTTATAAAATAAATAACTTCTAAAGAAATCAAATGTACTTCGAAATAAAAATTCTTGAGGAAAGCTGGGTCAGTCTACAGACAGTACACTCTACAGCACACTCTACAGCCTAAATGCGTCACCTTTAGATGTGCAAAACTTGTCTTCGGCGCCATTCAGCTTAAAGTACAGGGTGACCCACAAAACATCCCACTTTATAGGGACAGTGGTTTTAATTTCAAGTGTGGCCCTTCATTTAAAGAGGTTCATGTCCGATTAACCTTTACCTAATGATTAAAATAGAAGATATAAAGTCATTTCTCCAGCTTGAACGTGTTTCTCATAATTCCTACAATGTTTTCCTGTCGTAGAAATGCGCAAACCACTGTCAGAAAGAAACCACACTTGAAAATAATCAGCTTCAAAATTAGAAACACAATTTATATTTGATCAGACAAAGCTTTATATTGTACTGTTGTGAGTCGGACACAACATTTAATAAAGACGGTTAAGTGTGATATCGAATATGCAAGTGGACATATTTTAGTTAGACAATGGACAAAATTCAAGGAGAATTGCAGATCCAATAATATTTTTTACGTTTTTCATCTGTCATAATTACTTAGAAAATGCTTGCTGCGCCACAAACCTGCCTGTCTGTTGTTAGTGGCACAAGACGCCTTCTTGTCAAGTTGAGGCCTCGCAAACCTGCCTGCCTAGTTGTTAGTGGCACAAAACGCCAATTCTTGTCAGGTTGTGGCCTCGCAAACCTGCCTGGCTGGTTGTTAGTAGCACAACAAGATGCCTTCTTTTCAGGTTGTGGCCTCGCAAACCTGCCTGGCTAGTTGTTAGTAGCATCAGATGCCTTCTTGTCAGGTTGTGGCCTCGCAAACCTGCCTGGCTGGTTGTTAGTGGCACAAGACGCCAATTCTTGTCAGGTTGTGGCCTCGCAAACCTGCCTGTCTGTTGTTAGTGGCACAAGACGCCTTCTTGTCAGGCTGTGGCCTCGCAAACCTGCCTGGCTAGTTGTTAGTGGTCCCCCTCATATAGGTAAAGATTTAGTGTTTCTTGTTATTCAGATTCCTTGCTTCAGAAACTTATAAATTGAAATCTAATATTGCTCAATTCTCATCAAATATTTTAATACAGTACACAGGTTTGTGAAATCGTGTAGTAAACTTTCTTTATTTGAAACAAGCTGAAGTGCACGGCGTTCGAATTTTGAAAAAAATGTATTCTTGAAGAAAAAATAATTTGAATTGTTTTAGCCTATGTTCACCAAGGTGTGTATCCATGTTTTCCCTAAACAAATTTCATTCGTTTGGACAGCTATGGCTAACATATATACATATATGCAAATATATATAATATAATGAGTTATAATAATTATTATATTGATAATATAAGAACATCGCCCCCTCTTTTCTGTTTAAAAGGAACAACTTGTTCATGTTTATTAATTATTTAAGCATACGAACAAAACTTGTAATTGTTATATTGTTTCATTCTATCTTTTATATAAAATAGTAATGGAAATGTTTCAGAAAATAACTGATTAATTCACGAACCCTGATTTTAAATCTTAAAATTTTTGCAACCTGATGGTGCAAACCTTTAATATTTAAATTTTGTTCAGGTTCGAAAGCATGTTTTCCATGATGCGGATAACCTTGACACTGCGTTTGATGCAGGTAAAATAGCATCATGCAATAACTTTGATGCAGGGAAAATTGCATCATGCAATAATTTTGATTTAGGTAAAATTGCATCATGCAATAACTTTGATGCAGGTAAAATTGCATCATGCAATAACTTTGATGCAGGTAAAATTGTATCATGCAATAATTTTAATGGAGGTAAAATTGCATCGTGTAATAATTTTTTCGCAGGTTAAATTGCATTATGCCATAATTTGATATAGGTAAAATTGCATCATGCAATAACATTGATGCAGGTAAAATTGCAAATTGCATCATGAAATAATTTTAATGCAGGTAAAATTGCATCGTGCAATAATTTTGACGCAGGTTAAATTGCATCATGCAATAGTTTTGAAAGTAAAATTGCAGTTTGAAACTCTGCAAAACATTTTCCGTATTTCAGTGATAATTGAAATAAATTGAAAAATGCATTCTGTTTTTTAATCAATATATATAATCAGTTGTAATTTAAATCAAAATTTTTTGAAGTTTTGATTTATACTTTTTGAAATTGAAATCATTTCAAAAATGTACTGTATCATTTTTTCATTTGTTCTTTTCATTAAATTTATTTACAAATAAAATTTCTAAAAGTCTGTTTTCCAGGGGGCAAAGTATCGATAGGCTTGACTGCTACAACAATTGTATCGCAATGGACTTGGTCTGCTACATTGCTACAGTCCTCTACAGTAGCTAGCAAGGTAAAACAATTGGTTTGCTACATTGCTACAGTCCTCTACAGTAGTTAGTAAGGTAATACAATTGGTTTGCTACGTTGCTACAGTCCTCTACATGTAGCTAGTAATGTAAAACAATTGGTCTGCTACATTGCTACAGTCCTCTACATGTAGCTAGTAATGTAAAACAATTGGTTTGCTACATTTCTACAGTCCTCTACAGTAGCTAGTAAGGTGAAGCAATTGGTTTGCTACATTGCTACAGTCTTCTACAGTAGCTATTAAGGTGAACCAATTGATTAGCTACATTTCTGCAGTCCTCCACAGTAGCTAGTAAGGTAATACAATTGGTTTGCTACATTTCTACAGTCCTCTACAGTAGCTAGTAAGGTAATTCAATTGGTTTGCTACATTGCTACAGTCCTCTACAGTAGCTAGTAAGGTAAAACAATTGGTCTGCTACATTGCTACAGTCCTCTACAGTAGCTAGTAAGGTAATTCAATTGGTTTGCTACATTGCTACAGTCCTCTACAGTAGCTAGTAAGGTAAAACAATTGGTCTGCTACATTGCTACAGTCCTCTACAGTAGCTAGTAAGATAATACAATTGGTCTGCTACATTGCTACAGTCATCTACAGTGGCTAGTAAGGTAATTCAATTGGTTTGCTACATTGCTACAGTCTTCTGCAGAGCTATCAAGGTAAAACAATTGGATTGCTACATTGCTACAGTCCTATATCTATCTATCTATCTGTGAATCCAAGGTAATAAAGCAAGAAAAGTATTCTCTGCGTATATATTGTAATTTAGAAAGTTTTGATAATTAACTTTAAAGTTTCCTTTGACCAAAATACTTCATTTATTTTTTATGTGAAAGATGTCAGTCTGTTACGTCTGGCCGTCTTGTGTTTATTTTACAGCCCAGAGACAGTGTACTGCAGAATAAAAATGCGTATACCACTGAAATAACTATCTTTACATTACAATTCTTTGGTGTGAACCTTTCTATCATCTATCTAAATATCTATCCCATACCCAGCCTTTCGCAAAAAATTAATATGTGACGCGCATCAGCCCCATCTCTGACTAATAGGGTTTCCAACGTAATAGATTATTCTCTTACGCGTAATTACGTGCAGTTACGCGTAATAATTTTCATTTCGTGTAATTTCGCAGGATTACGCGTAATTGAAGAAATATCCATTTCGCGAAATTACGACGTAATTTCGTGTAATTTCTACAACGTAATTTCGCGAAATTTCGTAATGATTACGCGTAATAAGCAAAACTCTAATTACGCGTAATTACTGCGTAATTTCGCGAAATTTCGTAATGATTACGCGTAATAAGCGAAAATATAATTACGCGTAATTACGGCCTAATTTTTCGTAATTTCTATGAGGTAATTTCACAAAATTTTGTATTAATTATGCGTAATTAGCGTAACTTCAATTTCGCGTAATTTCTACAAAGTAATTTTGCGAAATTTTGCAATAATTACGTCTATGAAATTTTAAAGTTTTAACTTTTAATTTAAATAAAGCAACTTACAAGGAAAATAATGTCAGGCAAGTTAAATCAGAAATTTCAGCCAATACTATGTTGATGTAATTTTCACGTTCGACAACTAAAAAGTTTAACAAAGGGCCAACAATTTATTTTCATCAAAAAAAATACATATTTTCAATAAATGTTTATATTTCAACCTACTTTCTCAAGTTTACCTTTCTTGTTTGAAGAAATCATCAAAATATGTTTGTCAAAATCCAAAATTATCAGTTAAATTATCAGTTAAAGTACTTTAGTTGTTATGTTATTACTAGAAAGTAGAAAAGTTTAAACAAAAAAAACAGAAAAAGTGCCAGGTAGATTATTCGAACAGAAAATCCTTAAAATAGCAGTCAATCCTGTAAGTAGAACTAAATAAGGTTGAAAGTATTTAAATTATCCAATCAGATTTGACATGGTTGTAGCGGGCATATCCTTACACATACTTTCCCGCTATATTCATTTCTGAGAATTAATATGTACTTTATTTATTACGGAATTGTTACGTAATACGAAATTTCGCGTAATTACGCCTTAATTACGCGAAACTAGACTTTCTTTCGTAAACATAATATATGCGTAATTACGCGTAATGCTCCTGCGTAAGTGAAAGAAAGTGTTACGTTTCGTTACGCGTAATTACGCGTAACGAAATTACGACTGGAAACCCTACTGACTAATCAGCTCTCTCATCTACCTTGTCCTTGCATGCCTGCAGTATAGATATGGACACTTTTTCAAATCTGTTTTTTTCCATTGCCCAGAAAATATATAACGCAGTGGAAAAATACAGAATGAAAACTTGACCAATCATTCATAAACTTTCCATATTACTAGAAGGGAACTTAGAGGTTGGCAACCCCCCCCCCCCCAGATTGTTAAAAATGTGGAAACTACGTCGTTTTACTGACTAAAAAAAGTGTGTGAATTTCACTATTGTTTCTTATAAGCTAGAAATGCGTAAGTCACTTTCGCATGTTTTAAGAAACAACAAATATTTATATTAAAGTCATACTTGAGCAGACAAAACAAACCTTTATAGGGTACCGTTGTAAATCCGGCATTGCATTCTTTGCATGGATGGTCACTTGAAATTACGCTACAGTCCCATTAAGGACCCAAATGTCAAATTCAAAACCCGTTGGCTGTTATATATTTGAATTCTATAAACCTTATATGGGATTAAAATTAAACCTTTGAATTTCATGGATCGATTTATGTTTCCGATCAACTTCGTCAAAATTAAAGAAATTCAGGGGAAGCCTCTCCCTAAAAGTTTATTACCGCTTCTCTGGACAAATTCTTGTAACCGTCCCTGGTGAATTTATATTTTTTTTCCTGTTACATTTGCTTTAACTGGAACTTACAGAATTAAATATGTTAAATATATTTATGAATTAATACATATATAAAGGTGTCACGATCATTACACAACCTTTGTTACTTTTTATTATTAACGCCCCCCCTTCCCTTGCACCCCTTCTCCCTCAACTTATCTATCTATCTATCTATCTATCTATCTATCTATCTATCTATCTATATCTCTATATATGTAGTAAATACCTACTCCATAACAATTTCTTGAAATCTATCTATCCAGGTTCATCCACTAGAAAACTCTAACAGTACTGAATCCCGGTGATCTAAATTCCTCACAGGGACACAAGCCTAGCTATACAAGCTATCTATCGATCCCAATTGAGGGGTACAATCTACTGCTTTAAATGCCACACAATGACATAAGCCTTGTTTTTTTTTAATTGGAGCAAATGGAACAGAACAAACTATTGAAAAAAGTAGAAAAAGCCAAGTTCCAGGGCTGGGCGTCATTCCTGAGGAACAATCACCCAGCCCTTTGCAAGATCCAACTGAAATGTATTGTTTGTGTTTAGTATGATATATCTGGACCCTACTGGAGTCTATGTTTAGTATGATATATCTGAACCCTACTGAAGTTTATAGCCTATTTTTAGTATGGTACATCTGGACCCCACTGGAGTTTATTTTTAGTATGATATATCTGGACCCTATTTGAGTTTATAGTCTATGTTTCGTATGGTATATCTGGACCCTACTGAAGTTTATATTCTTTGTTTAATATGGTATATCTGGACCCTACTGAAGTTTATATTATTTGTTTAATATGGTATTTCTGGACCCTACTGAAGTTTATATTCTTTGTTTAATATGGTATATCTGGACCCTACTGAAGTTTATATTATTTGTTTAATATGGTATTTCTGGACTCTACTGAAGTTTATAGTCTATGTTTAGTATGGTATATCTGGACCCTACTGGAGTTTATAGTCTATGTTTAGTATGGTATATCTGGACCCTACTGGAGTTTATAGTCTATGTTTAATATGGTATTTCTGGACCCTACTGAAGTTTATATTCTTTGTTTAATATGGTATATCTGGACCCTACTGGAGTTTATAGTCTATGTTTAGTATGGTATATCTGGACCCTACTGGTATGCTGGTGGAGCAACTATTCAGATCATTATCTTCTCTATTCTATCCATTATGCTGAAAACAAGAGCCCCTGGAGCTAAAACTTTCCTTCAGGTAATTCAAATTTAAACTTTTCCTTCATAAAAAAACTTTCAGTTGGGATAAGGATTAATTATAGGGTTGGAAATATTTAACTTTTTTTAGCAGTTGGTCAAAAATTAATAGCAACAGAGACTGAATTCGATAAATTTTTACTGGGTCGCTGCCAATCACCAGTTCAAATTGAACATAAGGCTTGCTCAAATCTTGAAACACAGATCAAAATTTCATAATGAGCCAACTTTGCTTGAACCACCTCTCAATTTTGAACTGCATCTAGATGTGATTCACATTCTTTAAATTTGTCCTCAGGAAATTTAATGGATGAAAAAAATAAGACTTCAGCATTAGACCCAGCTAGAAACCTATATTGAATAATTGAAAATAATATTCCTTACTTAACAGAATTCATTCTTTATTTTTACAAGATTCTGTTAGTTCATTAAACTTTGCCATAGCCTACTTCTATCTAATGACAGGTTTTTAGTCCTAAATTCCAAAAAATTTGTTATAGTTTTGTTATCTAGTTTTGACATGAAAATGGACAAAAGTAGTTACTTTAGATAAATTTTGGACTAAAAGCCTCTCAAAATGCAGTTAAAGAGCATGGGAAAATTCTGTAGAAAAACATAGGATTTTTTAAACAAAGACAATTTCAGTTAGCAAACATAGTCCTGTTTTAAAATCTAATTTAACCAGGTAAATGAAGTATGGAATGGGCCTAGTTAGACACCTATTGTTTTGTAACCAATAATGATCCACTTTTTACCTTTAACAGCAAATGGTCCTTTCCCCTACTTTAAATTAACTGATTGTTAACATGTGGATTGAAAACTGTAGCAATATGCTACTAGAATGATAAAAAAACGAAGAAGTTTATAAAATATTATTTGTGACAAAATTGCTTTAGGTAATCAAGGCCAGATTCGGAAAGAGGACCCATCTTGTGTTCTGCACCTTTGCATTCTTTACCAATCTTATTGTGATGATGTCTTTAACTATTGCAGGAACGGCTGTACTTAACAGGTAACAGGAGATAATGCTATTAATAACAATGAAAAGTAAGAAAGTAAGTCATCTCCAAACACCATCAATTTCAAGACTTACCGCCCTTTCAAAGATGCTTTTGAAATTTTACTTTACTTAAGTAATAGTGCGGAAGACATTGTCATTTGTTAACTAGAAATAACATAATTTATTTTACTGCCTAAATCCAGACATCACTTTTCCAGAGCAACCACAATATGGAGGCTAACTTAGAATTATATCCAGTTTCCTTTTATTATATTTTTTAACAGTAAAGATTGACACAGAAAGACATGGGAAGTATAAAGTTAAATTTTTATAAATGCAAAAGAATCACATTTATTTTTTAATTTCTAACATATGACAAATGTACACTTTATGCATTGATATATAACTTCATATATGATCTCATTTACTCTTACATAAATACTTAATCTTACAAAATAACAAAATAATCTTTAAACAATGGAAAATATTTATTCTTTATTTGTGATCATACATAATATTACATAAGTGAAGACAATCTAAATGATGTAAAATTTTCAAAAACTTTAGGACTAGTCACAATAAAATTCTGGATAATTTTATTATAGAATTTCAGTAGTTTTTTTTTCTGAAAAGAATTTATTTCATTTGTTTAGTCTTGTTGACGGCCTGTCCCCAGAAGCAGCAGCAATGTTACTTGCTGCTGTTATTGGAGGATACACCCTGATTGGTGGCCTTGGGGCCACCTTCTACGTCTCCTATTTCAACACGATGCTCATCTTCATCTTGATCATCATGCTTGTTACAGAGGTGAGTAACCTTATATTCTGTGTATATTTGACTGTGTGAATCCTGTTTGTGAGGCCTCAACAATGATTTGAGCATATGTGGCAATTCCCTTTACAACATATTGTACAGACAGCTTTGAACTAAGACATATATCCTACATTAAAAGTTTAAAGATCCCTAACCTTTTTTTGGGAAGTAATGGAGTATATGTCCCTTTACAAATCTTTTTTAAGACAGGACATATTTGCATAGTGAGAGAATGTGAGTGCATTAGATTACTCTTAAATGGCTTTATCTTCCTTTTTTTTCAGGACTTTTGAAAAGTCAAAAAGTTTATATAGATTTTTCTATTTAGTCCGGAGCACGGGGCTTCATTAATTCATCCAGGTTTTTTTGACAAATAATCAGTTGATGGGCAATTGGATACAACGTTTTAGTGAAACATAGTAATCAGAGGTTTTAATTTAAAAATGTTTAATTCTTTAAAGTTATTTGAAATACTTGCTAAATGCTTGGTTTAGCATACAAATAATCAAGAACTTGTAATCATGTGTATAATGGTATGTTTTCTCTCTCTTGAAACTATATAAAAAAGAAGGTGTTTGTTTCAAAAGGTTTGGTTTAAAAATAAACAACATTGCATGAAATATAATCTTAATTATTTTAGTGAAGAACTAAATATCTTTGAATCAGAGCCTCTGTAATATGCCTGCAATTGGTTATTTGTCAAATATAAAGAATCACATACAATTTAAAGTATGACATAAATTTGTGTACATATTGTGTTGGCAAATTAAAATTTCATTAAAGTTTTAGGAAACTTGTTTTTTTAATGCTTGTGGCATTACAGCTTCCTCAATTCCAACTTTTACTTTCTGGCAAATATCTCCATTTCGCTTTTTCTATTTGTATTTAGGGCTGGGCATGCATCATGCATCATTGTGGTTTGTTCATCATAATTGTATGATCTTTCCACATTTTCTTTGTTCCATTTTTTGTTCTGTTTCTGCAATCTTTTAATACAAACATTTCATTTTATTTAGTGAAAAATGCTTTCATAAATGATAAATTTAATTTGTTGATTAAAAGTACAATCTATCTCATGTTGATGATGCCCAGTCCTATTATTGAGTGATATGTTGACAACATTGCTTTTCTTTTTTAAAGAACCTTTCATGCGCAGAAATTATTGCTTTTGGGTTTATGATCATGGATCACTGATCTGCCAAATTTTAGGCCCATGTGGGTATACCGTTTGTTTAGGACCCTGGTGGGCCATTTAGACCTTTTCAGGAGAAAAAGGCGGCACAAAGGTTTGCTTTCGTATTTTGAAACAATCAATGGCTATTAAAAAAAAAACCTCTTATTCGTCTAATTTTCTAACTGCTTCCCTCTTACATCTATTATTTACTCTAACTAAGCTTCAATATTTGATATTATGCTTTAAATCTGCAACTCAAAATTCAATCTTCCTCCTTCTTTATCTTAACTTTTTTGTTTGACCATCCTGACCTGCCCAGGTTCCTTCAGGTTAGGTCAAGAGCTGAATAACCTCTTTAAATAAAGTGGGATTTGTTTTAATTCTTACTTTTTACTTTAATCTGTCATAAATGGGGGGGGGGGGGGGGGGGGGGGTAGGTGGGGTTTCCTTTCCCAAATTGTTAGTCCTTCTATAAATACATCTATTTCTTCTAAATCATACCATTTGATTTTCTAATTGAACATGCATGTTTCTTCCAATCTATAGATATTTTCTTTTACATTTGGGGATACAACCTGTCCAACTCATGTACTTACTATGTTTCATATTTTTCAGGTTTTCTATAATCCTTTTGGTAATCCTGAGAACCCATTTGGATCTGCTGAAGCAGTTTATGATTTCATCTCCTGCTGGAAATCTGAAGAGGGAGAGGCAGGAAATCAAGACGGATCATATTTAACCTTTTACAGCTCAGGTTACACAACTTACATTATTTTCATTAGGTTATTAAAAATTGGAAGTTGTAAATCATGATTATTACTTTAGGTGGACTAATCTTTGGAATAGTGAATATTGTGGGAAACTTTGGAACTGTATTCTGTGACCAGGCATACTGGCAGTCATCTGTAGCTGCTAAGCCCCTTCAGGTCAGTTACATTTTAATTTTGAATACTTTGCCAGTTACATCTTTGCTCAGAACCTTGGCACCGAAATTAACAAATTTGTTGGGTTCCTGAATCCTTAACTTTGAATCAGTGGTTCAAATTAGAACCAGCCGTATGTAGTTCAGCAATTTAGCTCAAATTTATTAAGTTCGGTTTTTTGTGTACTTGAGTGCTTCAAACACGATATTGCATTATTTACTATCTAATTGTTGAAGAGTTTCAATATAAAGTTTTTTTTTTTTTTTTTTTTGCAAGGAAAACTTGTCTTTTCCTATGGCTCCTGTATCCCTGAGTTTGAGGGTAAATTTGGGTGGTAAATATTAGCTTAAAGATGATTAATGAGAATTTTGAATGAAATATCAAGAAAGAACATTTTATTTAGGGAGTTTGGGGATTCATATTTGGAGGATTAACCTGGTTTGCAATCCCCTTTACTCTAGCCACAACTATGGGTTTGGCATATCTTGGACTATCATCCGCCCAAGGGTTTCCGATGCTATCTGACGAAGATGTCACTAAAGGTAAAATTATGATCATTGTAAATTTAATAAATGAGCAGGAAATCATACATCTTTTGATCTGTAGTTTAAAATCTGACATCTTGTAAAACATTTTATTAAAACATTCATCATATTCCTCATCCCCTCTGTTTTTGAGAAAACTATTGCTAAAAAGGTTTTTTGATTAAAGTTTTAGATTCTGCTGATTCTCAAATAGTGATAATTTCATCGGTAAAGTAAATTACTAAAATATAGAAATGAATATTATACCAAAACTCTGTGGTGTGTCACCAGCCATTTTCACTAATTATGCCAGTGTATGTTGTATGTCCATGTGTAAATTGCTTTTTCCGTAAGTACATACTGCGTTTAAGGTCAGTTTGTCAATCTATGTCAAAGTTTTTGCAATGCAAATATATTCATCTAAGAAGTCACTATATGATTAAAGAATTAATTATGTGTTTTAGAATATTCCAGTCCAAAACTTCTATGAATATATTAAAAAAATTAACATACAGAGGATGGAAAATAAGAGGAAAATCTCAAACAAAAATATTCAAAAATGAAACTCATTTTACAATTATCTACGTTAACTAATAACATTTTGTTGTAGTTTGATTTTCTTTTTATAAGAGCATTAATAATATCAATAATAGATTTACTTTGAACGCAGATTTTTTTTAAACCATGATTTTCATCTTTAATTCAAGTTTTTAATTTTAGGTCTTGCTGCACCCCTTGTTGCACAGAAACTGCTGGGAGCCACTGGTAAGTGCAAATTCTCATACATGATGCACATATCAAATTGACTTACAAAAACCTTCGATTTTATACCCAACAGCAGATTATTGTCAAATTCAACCAAATGCTTTTAAAGGAATTAAGTTTTTGCAACAAACTTAAATTTTCTAATCCCTATATCTTTACAACCTGATGGTGTAAACCTTTGATATTTCAAACTTAGACTATTTAATTTTACTGAATTTATAGTTTTAAATATCAAAGGCCTACAACTTCGAGTTCCAAAGATATACAAATTAGATAATAGAGTTCGTGGCAAAAACTCAATTTCATTATCATTATTTTGTACTCTTATTTATAGTTAAAATATCTTCAATCCATTCATTAATTTGTTCTGTTTATTATTACAACCTGGCCTAAAGCTACAATGATTACAGGAGAATATGCGATGTTGTTTCTTATCTTGATGGCGGTAATGTCTACTGGATCAGCAGAAGTGATTGCTGTCTCTTCAATCATAATCTACGACGTTTATCAAACTTATCTTTGCCCCTTCAGACCAACCTTAAAGGTATATTCATAAAATCATTAATTACAAACTTTTGATTCAAAATGTGTAATTATACTTTTTTCTCCAAGGATGGACAATGCATCTTATGCCAGAAGTTCCTACGTGGAAAGGCAACTGGTTCAGATCTCTGTGATTGCCCAAGCTGCTATAGTTGCTATGCGTGTAAGGTTAGCAATGTTCACGTCAAACAAAAGTAGATTGCGTGTAAGATTGAAATCCTAAATGTTTTCAATCATAACTTCTCTTATTGCAGAGCTATTGATAGAAAAATAAATAAATGTTGAGTTTACAGCATGTAAACTAAATAAATTGCTTTTCTACAAACCTGTGCGTAGTATCAAAAGTGTAGGAGAGTAGTAGGTAGTCACAAAATTGTTCTATGTCGCCTAACTTTGACTTTCTCATTCTGTTTCTACTTTGCAGTGATTTGCAAACACTAACTGATTGACTGATACTATTCTGTAATCTTGGTTTATTTCAGGAAGATATTGACAGAAGAAGGAAATGTAAATCTATCGTCAAGCCACACTACACATGCCCTGTACATGCAGAGTACAAGGAGTACCAGGAATATAATGAATACATTATTACCCTTGATAAAGGCCAATTATTGCTGATTTTACCATTTTCATCAGCTAATATTCTACTTAACCTATGCATATTTCCTTTAGTAGTAAAATCACAGCTTAGTATTTATCTTCACTCTTTGCCAAAAACTCAAATTTTCTAATCCCTACTTATTCACCACCTGAAGGTGTATTTCAAACTTAGATTATTTCATCTAACAAATTTCATAGTTTGAAATATCATGGGTCTATGACACTGAGTTGCAAAGATATAGGGATTATCAAATCAGAGGTTGTGGCAAAGGCTCAATTCCTTTGGCCTCTTGTATACAAAAGTTCATTTTCTATTGTTTGAATTCATCACACTGATCAGGAGCAACTACTGAACTATAAGAATTGGTGTATCATCTTTACAACCTTCCTGTCAATCCCACTCTGCCTGTTCTGTTGGGGAGTCAACCTAAACCTGGCTTGGTCATTCTACTTCACAGGTAATATTTAGCCAAACGAAACAGCTCAATGATTTTAAGCAAACTGGGTAACAAACATGGGACCGGTTTGAATGAATTTAAGTTATATGGCTTGAACTACGTCTACTGCTCATTCAAACTAAAACAACTAATTCATTACCCGACTCAATTTAACACATATATAGACAAACATAAAATATAAAGTACTAGATTAATATCACATCTATCTAACCCTTGACTAGGCCTCCTTGCTTTCTCAAAGCTATATCCAGCTGCCAAGATATTTAACTGATACTTAAAAAAACGTACAACCTCCTTACAGCACATTCCAAGAATTAGGAATTAGCACAAGGGGTTCCTTGTTGTTTTTAATCTCATCTAAGAATTATTTAGATGGGGGTCAGGGGTCAACCTTTTTTGAATTTACCATGTCAAGTCTCTTATCCTTTCTTTCTCTCAGGGAGAAATGCATGTTGGTTTCAAGAGTATACGGGAATGTCATTTTTAGCATTTAACCTTCAGAGTATTGGAACCCGAATATCGACATTTTTTAAAAACATATATCCTTAAATTATTAGAAACAAACTGTAGTGGCTGGCGTTGTCCATTGAATTTTGAAAATAATACTTTAAAAAAACAAAGATTTAATTTATTTTGCCTTTGTTACCCACGGGTACCAATGTCCCATGCACTACCTATTGGTTTCCCTAATTTTTTAAGCTAATTTTTTCCAGCCTATTGGTCAGCTATAGCTAACATTTACAATTATCCTAATAAACAATAGAATATGTTCTAGACTTATTTTAAGAAGAAATATACTTGTATACATATATGAGCAAAGAGCTCTAAATAATGGATGACAGAGAAAAGGTATTCTTTTATATTGATCGTATAATAAAGGTTTATATAGCTTAACTGTTACTTTCTTCAATTAATAAATAACTCTTAGTGCAAAATCGTTTCCATCCCATTGAAGTTGAATTCAGCCTTTCAGACTATTTTAATCTTCAAAAATAAACAAGCAAATGTATAGGAAATGTCTTATTTGCTAAACTTTCTCTAAGGATAAAAAACTGGAAACTTGTTTACAGAGATTTTAGTATCAAAAAGTTTTCTTTGTTGTCTACTCTAAACACTTTCCTGGAGAATTCCTGATTTATCTTGCTTGAACATTTAAAGTAATTAAGTTTGAAGACCAACACATGCTATTTAGTAAAATCATTTGCATATTCAAAAGAATTAAAGTAAAAAACTCTTTTTACAATTAAGCCTATAAACAAAGTCCTGTAAATAAAATAATCAGGATTAAAAACTAACAGAAAGGTCCATTATTGAATTGCACAAAACACATATTTTAAAATCATTACCTGCAGAAATAGACGTTTTTGAAAAAGAATTAACAGTTAAAACTAAAAACAAAACAGACAAGTTAAAAGATAACAGATAATTGCAGAAAGTAAAAGATAATTCATATTGTAATTTAAAGTTTTTAAACACCGTCATTTTTGTTCTACCGCTTTTTTGTTGAATTATAGAATTTATGCATTTGAATGTTGCTTTCAAATTTTGCCAGCTATTTAAACATGAAATAATCATTATCGGCTTGTCAACAGCTCTGAAAGATAAAGCAAAAAACCGTTTGTGAGATGAACATTCCCATTAATTATTAAGATACAAAAGTATGGCTACCTGAAAAATTATTTTGTAACGGTATTATCTAACCATTAACAGAACAGTGCCTTACTTACTTAACTTTGAGGTTACATCTGGCACCAATATTATGAACACCCATCTTAAATATCATTTAATTATTTTGCTTCAGGTATCCTAATCTCTAGCTCTGTTGTTCCTATTGCTTTGTCTATCCTGTGGGCTCGCGCTACCGCAACTGGCTTGATATCTGGGGTGGTGGGTGGGTGTCTATGCGGGCTGGGTTGCTGGCTATACTACGCTAGCACATTCCCTGGAGGACTGTCAGCTGCTACCTTTGTTGAAAACACTGGAAGGGTGAGACTCATGGTTTTTTAAGTGGTCTATATTTTACTCTTTAAACTAAAAAAACATTCTGCCGCAATAAACTCTTCAATTTGAAGCTTGAAACAAGTCAAGTGCCTTGCGAGTAAAGGAATTGAGTCTTTGTAACAAGCTCTGATTTTCTTATACCTATATTTTTTCCACCTGATGGTGTATATACGTTTGACATTTCAAACTTAGATTCTCATATCTAACAGAATTCATAGTCTGAAATGTCTAAGGTCTACAGCATTGGGTTGCAAAAATAAAGAGATCATAGCTTATGACAATGACTCATTTCCTTTGTTTGTTTTTGGGTCTTCAAAAGATTATAAAATTTTTGGAAGATTCATGATCCGAGAGATACTGGAAAGTAGTAATTCAGTTAGTTTGTTTTTTGGTCGTTCTTTGCTTATAATTTCTTTTAAGATTAAAAGTTAGTGTAAGAAAAGCTATTTTTTTTCTTCTTATGTGTAATATTGACCCTGACAAAAGACATTCACAAAAAAACAACCCAAAAACAATCCAAAAAACGATGAAAAAAACAATTTGTTGAAACGGTCGTTGTTTCATTTATTTCAGTTCTTTGACAGCAAAACTTCCAAGAGCAAATAGGTTTCTTATATTAGCTTTGCTTATCTCATGAAAACGCCTGAAGTAAGAGGCCATCACATGTTTAGGGAATTTTTTCTAGTTTAAAAAAATTGAATTTGTTCTGTCTAGGAAATTCCAATGTTGTTGGGTAACTTGGTCTCAATCAGTGGAGGGGCTGTCTTCAGTATTGTTGTCACATTTTGTACCAGGTAAATAGATTATCATAAAAATGTTCACTTAATCTTCCATGTGCAGGCCCGTAGCCAGGGGGGGGCGCAAGGGTGCAGGTGCACCCCCCTTTCTTCTGAAAGAGGGATGCAATGACGAATTTGCACCCCCCCCCCCTAGTCCCATATAAAAGAAATTGTTTTCATAAGTTTCTAAAATCTAGTTATAAATTATATAGCCCGAGTAAGAATTGATTTCCAAACCAAATTATAATCTATTTGTGCGTTACTCATTAAAAGTGTGACGGCGTTTTTGTGTACTCTCTCAACTCATCCCATTTGTGGATATTTGGGAGAAAATATTGTTTTACACAGAGTGAGAAATAAAACAAAACAATTGTAAAGAGCATTTTTTCAAGCCCCTCCAGTGAAAATGAATTCCCTCCAGTGGAGTCAAATTCCTACTACGAACTTCCGTGACTAACAAAAAATACCAGATTAAATTTTTCTGAACGTTTCCCTGCGCTTTCTAATCTCATTTTTTCTTGAAACTCTGCAATTTCTGTAATCCAGGAAAATAGACTTAAAAATAGAAATTTTTACATTACTCTTATTTTTTTGTCTCTTTTGCCCTCTGGACAACTTTTACTTTTCATGCTCTTAAACATTTGTACTTTGGAATAAAATCAAGATAAATCAAGGATAATTTTGTTTACAAAAGGGTTGACACATTGAAAGAAAAGTGTTTGCACAGTCACCTTAGAATATAGATATTCTAAAAAGAACAATTTTGAGGGAAAATGAACACATTTGTTTTACAGGTGGCACATGACTAAGGAGGATGAAGAAGCAGAATGGGAAAAAACAAGAGACATCGATAACCCTCTTCATCCATGGATCCAGGTTTTCATTAAATCTCTTTTAAGTCCAATTAAGTTAAATAATGCTGAAGAACTGTGTAGAGTCTTTATAAATGTTTAAGGTGTACAAGGAAGAACTGTAAAGAGTCTATATAAATGCTTAAGGAGTACAAGGGAGAACTGTGTAGAGTCTATATACATACATGTTTAAGGTGTACAAGGGAGAACTGTGTAGAGTCTAAATACATACATGTTTAAGGAGAACAAGGGAGAACTGTGTAGAGTATATATAAATATTTAAGGAGAACAAGGGAGAACTGTGTAGAGTCTATATACATGTTTAATGAGTACAAGGGAGAACTGTGTAGAGTCTATATACATGTTTAAGGAGAACAAGGGAGAAATGTGTAGAGTCTATATAAATGTTTAATGAGTACAAGGAAGAACTGTAAAGTGTCTATGTAAATGTTTACGAGGGAGAGCTGTGTAGAGTCTATATAAAGGTTTAAGAAGTACAAGGGGGAACTGTGTAGAGTCTATATACATGTTGTTGTTTAAGGTGTACAAGGGAGAACTGTGTAGAGTCTATATACCTGTTGTTGTTTAAGGCGTACAAGGGAGAACTGTGTAGAGTCCATACACATGTTGTTGTTTAAGGTGTACAAGGGAGAACTGTGTAGAGTCTATATACATGTTAGTGTTTAAGGTGTACAAGGGAGAACTGTTTTGAGTCTAGATGTATGTTGTTGTTTAAGGTGTACAAGGGAGAATTGTGTAGAGTCTATATACATGTTATTGTTTAAGGTGTACAAGGGAGAATTGTGTAGAGTCTATATACATGTTGTTTTTTAAGGTGTACAAGGGAGAATTGAATCTTGAAGATGGAGAGAATTTCCATGACCGACCTCCATTAGAGCTTGTCATCAAGAAGTTTAGAGCAGCCAAACTTACTTCCATTTTCGCAGCTATTGCCTTCACCCTCATATTTGTTGTTCTGTGGCCTGGATCCATGCTCAGGTGAGACGGGTGAAACCTTACCTGAAATAATTTTAAAAAATCAAAAAAAGTATTGTCTTAAGAATTATCTGACGTGGTTACAAAATTTAAAAACTAAAAATGGCCTCTGGGCTTGAAGGCACAAAATAACAAATATTGAAAAATTGATCAAGTAAGGGCAAAGATAAATGTTTTTGCCTTTATTCTGTCAATTTTCACTAATTTTAAATTTTTTCAATCAATTTGCTTTTCAAAAATTCAATTTTTTACATTTTTTTTCCTTTTTATACTTGTCTTTAAAATATGATAAAACTTATAATTATTTATAGTTTTGATATAATGGGATTCTCTGGGTTCAATACTTGGACAATCATTAGTCGAGGTTGGGCCATGGTTGCTGCAGTTTTTATCATTGTTCTTCCCTTGTTCCAGGAGGTCAGTTCACACAATAATGAGATTGTTCACTTTTTTGTCATAGTTATAGGGAGTGTAGGCGAAAAATGAAAGGGGGTATAGGCTTAAATTGAATTGTATTCGATATCGATGGCTTCTAATTCTATTACTATTGCGCCTTTTAAGAGAAAATGGTTAAAAACGACTGATATCAAAGAGTGCAGGATCCATTCTTTTCATTATTTTAAGCATACCGTGGATAATTTTATTAAATTTTAAACTAATTATTCAGATATTACAAGTTATAAATTTCAAGTTCAATTCGATGCATTCCTATGTAGTTAAAAAAAAGTAATATGCAATATGTTATTTTTCTTTCATTGCTATTAAACATAAACAGTGGAGACGTAGAATGATAATTTCTAAACACATGAATTAACCAAAATTCCATCATTCTTCTTCATTTTTGCCTTTTTTGCCATTTTTTTAAATTTTTGATCCTTTCGTCAAAAAAGCTTGTGCACAAATCACCAAATTTCTTCTAAAAATTTTAAAATTGCAAAATGTGCAAAAAGTGCAATATTTACATATCTTAGGTGAGGGCAGTACAGCGACAATTAAAGAAGAACAAAGAAGAAAACGAACAAGGAACATCGTCATCTATCCCTTTAACTGCCATTCCTTCATCACCCTCTCACACAACAACAAATGGAACAATCAACAACAACAACAACAACAGCAGCAGAATTGTTAGAAGTAATACAGACTCAAGCCAGAATAAACAAGGTATTATCAGATCTATTTTTACATGCTGACAATCAGTTTAAAAAAAATATTCAAATTATCAACGTTAAAAGAACTATAAAGAAAGGGTCTGTGGATTTAACAATAAAAACTATAACTCCCCCCCCCACACACACAAATCGAAAAAAAAATTCCTTCTAAAGAAGAACTTTTAAACGAAATTTGTTATAGGGATTAAATTAGTTTTATTATTTAAGTGTTCCTGTTACAGGCTTTTATATAATTTGTTGATAAAAATGTCGATTGTTATTTTAAAGTTTTTTAATCATTCTTAAAATTTAAAAACATCCAGTAGTTACCGTAAAACAACAAAATTTTTGTATATCTTTTTTTAATTAAAAACATCCAGCAGTTTACAGTAAAATTTTTGTATCTTCTTTTATTTTAAAAAAAATCCCTAAAAGGGTTTAATTTGTTTCTGGTTTTTCTGATAAATATTCAAAAGCCCATATAAGAAATAAATCAAACTGAAATCACTTCAATAACATAAAAATATGACAATTATCCCACAGTTTCTGGATACCACTGTATGTTCCTTGTGTTAAGTATATCTGCTGAAGGGTGTATCTCGAGCAGTAGATTGTGTACTACAAAGAATCGGTAAAAAATGAGAAGATGAAAGAAGAAGAAAAAAGGAACGTGATAGAACATTTACTTTAAAAGGTATAATTCCAATATATATCCAAAAATATCTGAATCAAACATTTATCTGTATTTTTTGTCGTGCAAAGCATTAAATTAATTTATCTTGGATTTCCCGTGATTAAAAACCAGGTTGGATAATCATAGAGCACTTATTCCTTAAATTCAAAAGTTGCCACCGCGGATATCAAGATCAGCATTACCGAAACAGCGTTAATGGACACGAAAGTTTTGAGCCCAGTAAGGATCTGAATAATCATTTACTTGATGATTTTTCTTGTTATAAACTAGCTATAATTTTAGTTTCGTAATAAAGTACCGAGAGTACAAAATCTTAATTTGAAATTAAAAATTTCTTGTTCGATTTTGTGAAGAAAATCTTTAAAAGAATTTCGAGTCTTTCCCACAAACTCTGATCTTCTAATCCCCATATCTTTGTAACCCAATATCGAAGAGCTTAGATATTTCAAACCTTGAATTTAGTTGAAATCATCTAGTCTAAGCTTGAAATATTAAAGTTTTATAATATCAGGTTGCAAATAAATAGGTAGTAGAAAATTTGAGTTTATGGCCCGGCACTAATGTTAGTACTACTACATAGTAAAGGATTAAAGTTTATTCAAAACTTCTCATTTTTATTTTGAATTATTTTCAGGGGCAGAGGTTAAAGACTGTAGAATTTAGAAATAAACTCTGTTATTTAAAATCATCTATTTATTCTCAGTTTCATATCTGGAACAAACTTATTTTATAAAAGTGAATTTTGGCAAATTATTTAGCATACTATTTCTTAGTAATGTTGTCTGATCAAAACTTTACACATTTTGATCTTGTATTTTTTACTCAGTAAAATTGTGAAAAATTGTAATATAGCATTTGTTACGTTTGAAATAAATTCCTGTACTTGTTTGTAATTATGTAAAGTATGAAAGTACTTATTAATTTGAATACAATGTATCCATGATCCGTAATCCATACCCGACCAAATAAAATAAACAAAGCTCAAATTTTATAATTGATTTGAAATATATTCAATTTGAATTAAATAGCGTTTGGGTAGGTCTTTGTAATGCATCAATGTTTAAATTCATGTTTTAAAACCAAAGCCACCTAAGGTTTTTACGGATTCTGAAAGTAGACTAAGTCTTGTGTCGGGGTTAATGAAAAAGGATGAACCCAGACTATTGAGTCATATATTATAGAAATGTATCTTTCTAACAAAAACACACCAATCCTCTTACTAAAAAATCTAAAACTAAATATACACCAACACGTTACACCAAATAGATAATCAAGTACAATATGTGGCAGCAGAGAAATGAACCAATTATGCGCGACGTCACAAGTGTCACAGATATCAAGGAAAACGAAATTTTCTCACATTATTTGGCATGGTTTCCAAGATTAAATAAAAAAGTGTAAAAACAGAAAATAAAGAACACATAAAAAGATAAGAACTTTATTCAAAAATTATCTCTGTTAATAATAATTTTGTCGGACACAAAAACTAAGTTGACACTTGTGACGTATTAAGAAAACAGCTGTACTGAGGATGTACAAATTCTACGTTGCCATCTATTGTACTAGAATCTATTTGCATTACACAATTGTGAGCTCTGAAAAATACATAAATCAAGAAAGTTGAAGATTAAAATGAAGGAAAAGAAGAAATTGTAACGGATATGTCCAGGGATCATATAATATATCATTGTGATATACTGCGCGTAATTTGGGAACAGTTACATAAATTGTACACTTTGAACTCCTTTTCAAGCTCCAAGCTACTGTAAAGTTTTGATTATTTGAAGCTCAGTGTTGTCAAGTTTCAAATTTTGGAATTATACAGATGTCTTTTCTGGCTACAATCAATCGGGAATTTATATTTTCAAAATTCATAAGACAAAGCGCTGTTAAAATTAAAACCTAACTAAAGCTGCAAATATTTATTGTTAAAACTTTCATCATCATAAATCAAAACTGAATTTAATCATCGTCATACATTTCTAGTATAGAAAAAATGTTATACAGATAACATAAATATATGTTAAAATTTGAAAAGAAGCAAGCATAAGAATTCCTAAACATTAATTACCTAAAGGCAAAAGCATATAAAGAGGAGGAGGGGGGGGGGGGGCGCAAAGTTTTAAAAAAGTGTCTAGTGCAGTTTATTAGATGATTTTGAATTTGCTTTTAAAATTTTTAATATTTTTAAAAACTTTTTTAAAATCTCCTTATGTCGTAAATATGTTTTCAAAATATACAGCAAAAATCAAGCTAGTTACTAGCATCATAGCAAATATGATGCTAGTAACTAGCGTAGCGCGACATAAACTATAGAAACTATTCATTTGAAAATATCAAATCTTTTTAACACTAGCAACAAATTGTACGGCAGCAAATTATGAGCAAAAGGAATTTAGTCTTTGCCACAAACTCAAATTTTCGAATGCTAATATCTTAGAAACCTGATGGTGTAAAACTTTGATATTTCAAACTTAGAATGTTTTGTCAAAAAACATTTATAGTTTGAAAGGTTTACGAGTTTGGGTTGCAAAGATATAGGGATCAGAAAGTCAGAGATTGTGACAAAGACTCAATTCCTTTATTAAAGCGAAAAATTGAAAAATCAGAACTCATTCAGTAATTAAAAACAAATTAAAGATCATTATGGAGGTCGATTTTTTGAAAAGCTAACAATTCTTTGAATTCTAAATCTTAAGTTTACAGCACAGCTTGTAGTAAAATTTACAGCAAACAGTCATAAAAATGATTTAAATCGAAGCTATTCTAAAGCTTCATGTAACATATCATGATTATATGGGAGTAGGTACATTTGGCTGCAATTTACATTTATAGGTAATATTTTAAAGTATTTCTGTACACTCAGGTAGTGGTACAGGGTTAATAATGAAGGACAAGAGTTATCCGAGTTTATTTAACCGTCTCAAATTCATGGATATCAATAGCTTTTATCTTGTGAATTTCTTTGTCTAATTATTTTGAATCAGACAACAGTCAGCCTTTTGAACTTTCATCCTGTATATCCCTCTTGGTAACCCTGTATATTAGATAAAATTCTCAAAACCTGTAGTGCTACTTGGGAGAGCAGAATAGAAAGAGATGACAGTGTTAGTTAGTTTAGAGCAAATGAAAGAAATTGGCGTTCGAAATTCAAGATGCTCAATGGCAGGGTACTTTGACTGAGAGACCATTTGTAAAGTTCTTTCCAAGAGACTCAGATGCAGTCTCCCATGTTTCTCCGTTAAAGATCTCAATTGTGTTACTAATACCAAACATGATGAGATTTCCCTTGTAAACATGCAAGTTAGGGAACTGTACAGCTGATTTGAAGCTGGAAATCATTCTCCAGGTCCTGCTCTCAAAATTGTACACTTCCACACTTAAAATAAGATTGAGTTTGGAAAATAAAGAACAAAATGAAGAAAAAAAAACTTGGAAACTTTGAAAGATCTCTTAACTATCAACTTGACAATCTCAATATGAGCTTATTATTACTCACTATTTACCGTCAAGCTCTCTTCTTTAGATTTGGAATAACTTGACTTAAATTATTAACAACTGGTTAAAGGGAGTGTTCGCGAAAAATGAAAGGGGGTATAGGCGTCCATACAAATTCGGAATGATGCAACATTTAACTCGGATCGTAAACAAATCAATTTAATTCCAAACAAAGCATTCAGATATTACAAACAGTAGTCATTGATTATTTTTCGACGCATTCGTATATAGTTAATATTTCATAATATTTTTGATTTTGTTTTTTTAAAAATAATTTTTGCTGGCGCTGGATTTTCGAACATTCCTGGAAAATATGAAAATGTCCTTTTCATTATCAAAAATCCTCGAAACAGGAATAAATGTTTTCAAAAGTAACTCTCAGATCATGAAAAATACAAAAAAATGTAATTTTTCTCCGAGTATTAAAACAACATATCTAAGTCATTAGTGCTGTCAAATGTTGTGCAGCTTCTAATCCTATTACTTGACAAAAAAGCAGTGCTTTATTGTAAAACACATTTTCAGCAATTAATTCAACAAAACATAGATTGATGTTGATTTTTCCAATTAATAGAAAATATCTGTTGATTCCATACCTAGAATGGCCACCTCCTCCTGCAGCGTAGATTTCTCCTTGAAAAATACCACATCCAATGTATCTTCTAAACAGGGTGCCATTTTTCTTCTTGATCAATTTGGACCCTTAAAAGCCTTATGAAACCTTTTCTGAAGCTGTTGAGAATGATGAACCATTAAATACTTTTGATCGCTAATGGTGGAACCTATCTTAACAGGTTTTCAAATATATCTGCCCCATAGATAATATGCTGGCCATGGATATAAAATAGAATGGATAAATCATAGTCAAGGTTTGATGTAATTTTATGGCTGGGGTGTCATGCAGTACGTTAGACATTGTATAAATTTATCTTTGGTTTTCGTAAAGTTAATAGATGTCAAAGGATTGTAGAAAAACATTGCAAGTTTTTGAAACTTGGTAAAATTTTAAATCTTTCTATCATAAAAATTGTCGGAGATTATAAACCTTGGTACTATTTAATACTTTAAATTTTAATCAAATTTCTTAATATCTCAGTCAATTTTTAAGGTACAAATACGTCGAACCACATTTCGAAAATTTCAAAATAAGACACCTAAGATGCAACCCAATAAGATAAAAAAGAATGGTTTATTTACAAGATTTTAACTAGGGTATATCATTTCTGCTTACTCCATGAGGCCCACAATACAACAAAGCTTTATTCAGATTTGGACCCTGAATTTCACTTCACTTAAGTACAACATGCATTGATTTAAAATTTCCCAATAAAATCTATGGTCCACTCAGATAGAACAGCTGTAAAGCACACCCACAAAATTACATGTACGCTGGCCCAGAAAAAATAGATCGGTAGATAGAAGCATATCTATAAGCAGTCCATGACGCAGGTCTTGGTCTGACATTTTGAAAAAGGTTTTTGGGATGATTATTCAATATGGAAATGTTCTGTAATAGTCGTGAACTTTTTTCAACAGGTCACGAACAGTGAAGCATTTAGAAGGTAGATTTGTTTTGTTCGGTCCCCTGTTCGGTCCCCTGTTCGGTCCCCTGTTCGGTCCCCTGTTAATTTCCAGTAGTTCTAATGGTTTATAATTCTTAACAGGAATCATTCTGTAAGGTCTTTACGGGTCCAAATTGATCCGAAAGAAAATTCAAACCCTACTTCTAAATAATTTAAATATTTCAAAATTATAACTATATTCTTGTTAGTTATAAGGCTTCTTGCACGGAGAAAAGAATAATTTATATATATTTTAGCTATTATAAAACAAGACAATCTCCCACATTGGGTATTTTTGGATTATTCTGAAAGCATACAGGGTGGGGGGTCTGACATTAAAACTATGTATAATATGCATCTTTGAATTCAATAATAAAAGTCAAGTATTGGAGTTTACCTTCCTATCTTGAGGTTTGGTAGTGTTTCAACCATATTTCCATCAACATCATATTTCTCAACCATTGCCCACCGCTGATTACCACCAAGAACAATCATTTCTGTGTAACTTAAACAAACAAAAATACATTCCTTTTCCTATGATTCTTTAGTGTGGGGGTTGGCGGGTTTAGAACCTACCTGTCTGTCTCTTGTATCTTTTAACTGTGAAAAACATGTGAGAGAATTCCTCATATTGTAACTTTTCTTTGATAAATAAGAAGCATACTTGCTTGCAAGATAGGATATTTTGGAAAATTTGTACAAGAAGTGTAATTCGAAAAAAAGTGAAATTGTAGCTTAAACAAACTTACTTTTTTGGTGATTTGGAAAACAAATTCAAAAATAATTTTGCAATTTTGCAGAACTGTTAGCTCTTAATTAATAAGTAAACATAGTATTGTTTGGCTTCAAGTTGTCAAATATAATTTTTACATATTTTGGATTTGAGTGAAAAAACACATTACCTTATTTCTACAGCACAGTGATCAGCTGTTCTTTGGCTTAGTTTTTTGCTAAGGGTTGTCCACGTTGTACCATCAAAGCGCTCAATATTATCAAGGCTTAAAAGTAAAAATGACTTATACTCCCTACAAAGTGATTTTCTATTGAATTCTTAAACATTTAGTCAGAATGCTAGTATAAAGAACTTACAGACCCCCATTATAGCCCCCGGTCATCATAATATATGGTCCAACAGTTGTCAAATCGGGGGCACTTCTAGCAGGTGTCACACAGTCTGGTATTTCATCCCAGGGTCCAGACAACACCATGCTACGGTGGTAACACCTGTATTAGAATAGTGTTATGTTAGAAATCTTATTTGTTAACAGCAGTTTGCGTTCCATGTACGAACAAGAATCGTCGATCCTAAAGACATACTTTAAGGGAAAACAGATTGGCCGCTAGATGTCTCATGTAATATTCTTATCTTATGATAAATAATTAGGACGCACACAGTCAGAGACACCATCTGGTTGCCGTAGTGTTTAAAAAGAAACCAGCTCAGGTCTTAACAATAAGAGAAGGCATAAAATCAACAAAAATTAAGGATTTAAATTTCTCTTGCGTATAAAATAACTTAAAGACCAACTTCATCAAAAAATAATTTTTAAGCCTATAACAATGTTAACTGTTCAATGTCCAATATAATTAAGAATTGAATAATTTTAAAGGAATGCAAGCTAACTTATATTATACATTGTTTTTAAATGGAAAGATATAAAAGATACATGTACCTGCTTGTCCATTCTCATCAGGAAACACAAGGCATATGCATTTTAAGAAAAGCAGTCAGCCCCCCCCCCCCTCTGACCTCCTAAAATACCCCACTATGTCCCCCCCCCTCCTGTAGATGGTTACAAATGGTGACCACACCAAACCCCACACCCCTCTGGATGAATCCCTGCCCTTTTGTCATAAAATATTTTCAATACTCCTTTCCCTCTTATTAGGGTTTATTCTTACCATTTTACGAATTACTTACTTATTGGTTTTATGGTTGTAAATGTAGACTTTTCCGTTGAGAACTGCAATCCCTATAATTAGATGTGGACTAGTAAAAAAAGATTAAAACACAAGACTGGAAACAAATTCATTAATTAAATTTTAAGAAAATGATATTAAAATGTCTTGAGGAGAAAGGAATTTTTAATATCAATTAACAATTTTCAAAAGTATGAATTTGGGAGAAAAACATTAATATTACTTAACCCTCTTCCAAGCAGGGGGGGGGGGCGGGGTTCCCTAACACCACCCTTAAACCTTATTTTTATATAACTCAATATAACAGTGGGTAGAGGAGACATGAGTAGGAAAATGAAAATGAAAATACTATACCATTTTGATATTATTTTTGTTCTGTTAATAAATTTCAAAACAATGTTATTTCGCAAATTTTAAATATTCAATGAAGACATTTATAGATAGTTCTTGTTATTTTGAAAGCTTATTTATAAAATAAATATCATCTTACCTCCTGTAGTATAATAAAAATCTACAGGCAAAGTAAAATTACATGGATATGATTGGACCAAGTCAACCCCTAAGTTATAAACATTGATAGTATCCAAGGTACTAATGCAAGGAAAATTAATACTCTGCGTACATATTGAAACCAGTTCTCTCTGGGCGGAAATTGTAAACAAGAATAGATGCATCAGTGGTCGTCTAGTATCCGAGGAGGATAAAAGCATTTAATTTTGATAACTTTAAAATTTAGATAATAGTTTCCTATGAACAGAATATTTCATAGATTATTTTTGTGAAAATGGATTCCATGTCAGGCTATGACATCCGTCTTGTGTTTACTTCTCCACCCAAAGACAGTACACTGCAGTACAAAAAATGCATACACTTCTGAAATAACTTTTCTTGCATTAGTACCTTGATAACATCTATCACTTTATGGAAAACATATTGACAACTTTAAAAAGTCTCTTTAAACACGAATAAAATTGAAAATCTGGTTGCCATTAAACATATTTAAACATTTTTAATTTTTTAATTTATTTATTTGTACAAAATTATAATGGTACAGTTTAAAAGAATTAAGGAATAAGATATACAAATATTGAAGAAATTAAATCTATATTTTACATATATTCATATGAATAAAGAAATATCAACACAATTTTTGTTCTTTATATATACAAAGAAGTTTGTTGTAAAATTTCAATTCCACTGGAGACCACCAGAGGGATATCATTTTTTACTGAAGGTGTTTGAAAAATCTCCATTCACAATTTGAAACATTCCGCAGGGTGAATTAAGGATTAAGATATCCATCTAGGGAGTTTAACATTCCACTTGAGGGAAGGGTAGGTGAATCACTACAATGGAATTATAAACGCCCAGGAAGGATATGTGAATCCCTACAATGGAATTATAAACCCCCCTTTCGAGATATCTGAAATTATAAACCCCCAGGAATGATATCTGAATCCCTGCAATGGAATTATAAACCCCCAGAAAGGATATATGAATCCCTACAATGGAATTATAAACCCCCCTTTCAAGATATCTGAAATTATAAACCCCCAGGAATGATATCTGAATCCCTACAATGGAATTATAAACCCCCAGAAAGGATATATGAATCCCTACAATGGAATTTTAAACCCCCCTTTCAAGATATCTGAAATTATAAACCCCCAGGAATGATATCTGAATCCCTACAATGGAATTATAAACCCCCCAGGAAGGATATGTGAATCCCTACAATGGAATTATAAAACCCCCCTTTCGAGATATCTGAAATTATAAACCCCCCAGGAATCCCTCTAGGGAAATGATCTAACACCCTGGAAGGAGTAAAGTTTTAAATTGTAAAATTGACTTTTCAAACCCCACCAATGAGAATGAATTCCATCTGGTGGTATCCAGTGCAGTGGAGTCAAAATTTACTACGAACTTCCGTTTCCCTTATTTAATTAATATTAAAAACTGATATTAATTTTAATACTTTTTTTAATAATTAATAATATTTTTTTAGATAATCTATATTGGGTTGTAATCGTGCCGCACTAGCCATGCCTACCCCAAATGCATTATTTTCGTACATTTATTGAAATTAATTTAATTAAAATAAGATATTTTTGGTTTTTGTTATTGTGTACATTACATACAATAAGGACTAATATTGTCATAGGAAGAAATGTAAAAACAGGTGTTTTTTTGTCATTGTTCTTGAATCTAAGAAAATATGCTAAAATACCAGTTGAATATTTTTTATAAATATCATCTTATGTATTCAATAATTTTGGGCAAAATAAATAAATAAATAAATAAGAATTGTTACATATTGTAAAAACAAATGTCAATTAACAATGAAATAAGTAAAAGTGTGTCACTTGTTTCACTAGTTTAATATGTATGGTGCTTGTCATTAAAGAAAAAAAAACATTTTTAAATAGTTTAATAACTTTATTATGACCTTGTCCAATTAGAAGAAAACTTTCTTTTTGTTCCTAAAAAGAAACAAAATATTTTTTAAAGCAATTTACTACTTTAAATATTAACAAAGTATCTAAATTTTTGTCACAAACTCAAATATTCTTATCCCTTTATCTTACCAACCTGATGGTTTAAACCTTTGATATGTCAAACTTAGATTATTTGATCTAACAGAATTCACAGTTTGAAATATAAAAGGTCTACGACATCAGTTTGAAAAGATATAGTAATTAAATTTCGAATTTGTTGGCAAAAACTCATTTCCTTTATTAACCCATATTACATTAAATTATCAACAAGATTAAAATTGTTCCAACAATAACACAAAAATTAATCTTTACACGAGATGTGTTAAGTCGAATTTTCAAAGGAATTACAAAATATATACTTGTGCATGGAATTATTGTAAAATTGCACGGAACTAAGTTGTCTTAGGCCCTAGTGCTTGCATTTGCTGTTTACAACAATGATACATTTTTCATATTCTTAATTCATTTGTTTACCAGAGATTTGAACGCTTGAGCTTTCATGAACACAGAAAGTGCTTTCTCCTCAGGAGGCTCCTCCAGTAAACTCAACTTTAAATAAGATATAAATAGTTGCAGCTGACTTTCTTCTAAAAGAGCAGACCTATCTTATGCGGTCCCATAATTACAGTTTGGTGGAGCGCTGTGTTTAGTTGCGCATCTCGTATCCTACAGGGGAAGTAAGGAAGTACATAGAATAAAACAAGACTTCATCTTCAGCCTGGTGTAACGGAAAAAAGGAGTCTAATCCGAAGGGTATACAAGCCATGTACAACGATAATGGTTTTTTACTCCACCAGCTGTAAGGACTGGACTGCTATGGACAAGATGGGGGCTTGGAAAACGTTCCCCCCACCCTGCCAAGGAGGGGGGAGGGGGGAGGAAGGAGATGATCGCTCTCCCTCCCCCCTCCCTCCCCGCCCACAAGAAAATATCATGGAAATTGTGTTTTGCTTAGTCAAGAATAAACAATTCTATATAAAGTTCCGAGAAAGAAAGCAAGATATACAGCTAGTTCAATTAAATACAGGGATCAGAAAAAAAGCAAGATCCATAAAAATAGTTCTTTCTTGTAAAGTGGCGAACTACAAGGACATCCAAAAAATTATTTTATTTTTATTTTCAAAATTAGCCGAATATGAGGAGGATGGCCAGACATTTCGGGAAAAGACTAAGAGCAGAATTTTTTTTTGCATCTCTAGCTGTCACTAGCGGACACTTCTTAAATTCAATTATTTAGGGTTAAATCTCATGATGTAATCTGAATATTAGAAGTAGAATTTTAGACCCACACTGCATACAATATAAATAATGCATTTTTCACATAATGCATTTACTACAGTCACAAAAGATCAGACCATTTTATCCCACCTGTGCAAAGGAGCAAGTATTATTTGAAGCTTCAAAATGCACAGCATTGCATGTATCCTTCATCCTGGCACAGGCTCCAGAACACTCTATGATGCTGGACTCAACAATCTTTGTAAACAATAAATGTTCTATAGAATTAGATCTAATGATATGCTCTAAAAAATCAAATACCGGATTCCCAATTGAGCAGAAAGTGTCAATTTTCCAAATAATATTGGAGGACATTGTTTTCGGGTCTTTTCTTAAAAATTCAAGGTTTATTTGCTTAAAATGTGTTAAAAATTAATTTGAGATTTTTCGATTTTCTTTAAGTTTTCATTAAACGAAAATCTTTCTTAGAACCACAGATTTTTTTTAAAGCATTTTTTCAATATAATATACAACTTTACCAATTGTTTAAAAATTTGTTTTGGTATATAAATTTTTAGCATAATGTACTATATAAGAGAAAACTAAGTCTCTGATCTCTTTTAAAAATCTAATAAACTTAAAGGTTAATGACCTCACATACAAAGTCGTCTATCAATCCAGCACAGTTTTTTTAAATATTTAATTGTTCCTGTCTATTAGTAAATTGATCCCATGTTGGCTTGGAGATTTTCTTCATTTTCTTAAACATCCTAAAAATAATCATCGTAAATTTATGAAGTACAACTAAAACCTTTTTAATCTATTAAACAATATGAGAAGCAAAAAAACAAGTTGATTTACAATAATAGTTTATTTCTGTTTTAATTTTACTTTATTTGCAAACAAATATCGAAATTAAAATTCCAACTTCTTAACAACTATTTATGAGTGCAGCATAAAGTTAAAATGAAAATTCCGATGCATTGAAACTATACCTGCTTCCTGATACTAACTCCAAGAACAAGCAAGCCAGTACAGTACGCAGAACAATCATCACTTCTATGTAAAGTCCAATTCTTCAAAACAAAAGAAATATTGGAAATCAAAAATTTTATTCAAGTGCACAGTTTCATTCTTTTAATTAATGATTGTAAAACTTTAATTAACAACAGGATTTGTCATTAGTTACAGTTTTGTGATTCTTTTAATCTAAACAATAGAACAAGACATTCATATTTATGTCCCTATAACCGGCCCAACGGCTGGACCGTATGGGCTGAAATTTTTTTTGTGGATACTCATGGGTAGCATGTGGGTGTGACATAGGCTAAAAAATCGATTTTTTGTTCAACTTTTTTTTCATTTTTTTTTTCGAGCAATGCCGGGCACTTTATCTAGTTATTTTATAATTTGCTAATATTCAATTTTGTTTTGTTTTGTGTGTACTTTTATTTACAGTAATAGGACAAATAAATAGGCAGCTCAAGCCTTGCCTAAATCTCAATTTTCCAATCCTTCCAATATCATTTAGCAGGCCTTGAATATTTGAAGCAATACACCCTGCTTGGCCAATAAGACAAATCGTCCAGTTGCAAAGATACAGGGATTGCCTATTCAAAGTTTGAGGCAAGTGCTAAGTTCTATTAAAGCCTTATGGAAGTATGGAAATGAAGCTTTAAAAATAATACATTTGTCCTTATCAAGATATTTGATATTGCATACAGACCCTGAGGACTCCAAGTTCCAAACTGTTTAATCTTCACTGAATATTTAAACAGCTTTCTCAGTAAAACTTCTAGAAGACATGGCAAAATATTTTGTAAATATTTTAAATTTTTTTTACAGCCATATCTATTTTTTTATTATTTCGCCCCAACTAAAAGAGAACAAATTGTGCCCATTATGCAATTCTTTTCTTTTCTAATTGCATATTTAATCATTATGTTATTTTATAGATTCTTTTATAACTTCTTCTAACTAAACTTAATAATAATTCTTCATTATGCTTTGTATATCTATACTTAGATATCCTTGTATATTTATACTTATATATTACAAGTTTTTCTGAGCTGTAAATCTTGAATTATAAGTTTTTTTTATAAATTTAATCTAAAAATATGTTTGGAGGACATTTTTTACTTAGATATAAAAATGATTAAGTTCAGACTAAAATTCAAAGTTCTATCAAAGCAATCAAGTCAATGCATTTTTCATTTATTATGTGCATAGAGCTTAAAAAGTACTTTTCAAATTATTTGTAATTTGTTTGTCAAATAATCAGGCCTATCAAGCCAATGTCTCCATTTCAGACAAATAACTCGGATTTTCATAATTTATGAAAAAATTTCAATTTTGGAATTCCAAAATAGTTCAACAGAAAATTTCTGGTTTTCATATTCTACGCCAGAATATTTTAAGTTTTAATTATTATAGACAAGAAACAAATCCTGCAAATTCTGTATGTCAAAAAATTTCAATTTTTGGAATGAAAAATTCGGTTTTGATTATGCATAACATAAAATCAATCTGGTTTCCATTCAGTAAGCCGCCAGAATATATTCTGGTTTCCATTTATATATGAGGAGTATAATTATACTTTACTGACTTACAATGAGTTTTCACGTTTTTTTATGTTTTAATCAACAGTCAGAAAAATAAAATTTACTGAATCTATATCTATAGTTGACGTGGGTTTTGCATGTTTGTTTGTAACCAATAAACGCCAAAACGGCTGAATCGAGGGAAGGTTTATAAATGATCAAAAGGGGATGGTGGAGTTGGCACATTTGATGTAGGGGGGGGGG